TTAAGGCTGAAGTTGACAATGGTACTCTTTTGCTAAAGGTTCATTGTTATTCCAAATTAATGAAAAGCCTGTATTATTCTTTTTAACTTTTCATCTGTTGTTAAAGACATATTTCAAGATGATGAAATTTAGCCTGCTTACTCTTTATTCTTTATGAACAGGCAGTGTAGCCAATCAAGTATTCCACCCAGTGATGTTTGACAAATGCGTTCAAACTCTAAAGAAGAGCTGGCCTCAGGAATCTAACTCGAATCGGAAAAGAAAGAAAGAACAGCCTGTGAGCTCTCAGGCTAATCCAAGGAGGCATAGAAAAAGAGGAAAGCCACCCAGGAAAGAAGATATTGAGGTAAGTAGTAAACTGAATAATGAAATGTATCTACACAAACACATGATTTTATTTATTTAAGGATTGACTTTTAAATATGATTTCAGGCATCATGATTATAACCAAAAGGGCCTAAACTATCATCAGCTATTCAGTACTACTTTAAGTTGCCTCTTGGGCTTCGTATACTTCTAAGGGCACATTTCTGCCTTGCCATCTTTCCAGTGTCTTGATCATCTCTCCCCAGCCTTGTTCTCAGGTGTTCTTGACAACATTCTAACTGTTGTATGTGCCACATTATCTTATTGTCACTACAGGGGGTGGTTGAAGTGTCCTGAAGGCTCTTGTCCCCTTAAGAGCAGAATAGAATAGCAATAATTTCAAATTCTTGTGTGACAACATAGGATAGTAGAGGTTCATTGACGTCAAAACTTCTAAGAAACACAGGAATTCTAATTGACAAAAAAACACAGAGCTGGTAACTATAGTGGCCATCTAGCCCAGTGATTTACCATTGTAACCATGGAGACCTGGAACAGTCAAGCAACCTGGTCAAAGTCATGTCACCTCAGCATCAGCTGCTACCTGGAGTTTAACTGGACTTGGTTTGTATAAATTGAAAACCACGGGACAAAGTGCTAGGCATTATTACACAGTCACCTATACATTTCTTCATAATCTAGATGGATGAAATTATAGAACAAGAGGATGAAGAAAATATTTATTTTTCTGCCCGGGACCTTTCTCAAATTCGAAATGCCATCTTTCATGTTTTGAAGAATTTCTTAAGGCTTCTGCCCAAGTTTTCCCTGAAAGAGAAGCCACAGTGTGTACAGAATTGTATAGAGGTAAGTGAAAATTCCAAGAACCTTAGGGCAACTTCAAAGGAGATAGACTATGGCTAATACTTAATGAGTACAAAAAATCAGGCCTTTTCTTGGTATCTGTTTTCCAGGTCTTTGTTACTTTAACTAATTTTGAGCCAATTCTTCACGAATGTCATATTACACAAGTCAGGTGAGCCATTAAGTCTTCCAGTGCTACAATTTTAATATAGTATAATAATTTTTGCTCCAGGAGAAATATAAATGCCATTTTATCCTAATTGGCACGCAGGTAGAATTTATTCATTTAAATATGGCTTCTAGGGATAAGAAATATTCCGAGTAAAATTATATCCATTAACTAATGTTTTGCCTTTTTTCTTTAGAGATCTTAACCAAGCAAAATACATACCAGAACTGGCCTATCATGGGTTGTATTTGCTGTGCTCCCCAATTCATGGCGAAGGAGATAAGGTAAAGGAGATAAGGATCTAATTTAGTTACTAGTTGAGTTGAAAGCAGGTGAACCATACAACGGAAAGACATTAAAAGCATTTGATGGCCCGGGGCAGTGGCCTCATGCCTGTAATCCTAGCACTCTGGGAGGCCCAGGCGGGAGGCTCGCTTGAGGTCAGGAGTTTGAGACCAGCCTGAGCAAGAGTGATACCTGTCTACTAAAAATAGAAAAATTAGCTGGGTGTGGTGTTATGTGCTGTAGTCCCAGCTACTTGGGAGGCTGAGACAGGAGGATTGCTTGAGCCCAGGAGTTTGAGGTTGCAGTGAGCTATGATGACGCCATGGCACTCCAGCCTGGGCAACAGAGCGAGACTCTATCTCAAAAAAAAAAAGCAATCAATATAACACCATTTTAACTTACTAGGTCGTTTTCATCACCTTATATTATTTGTATAATAAAACTTATCACTATTTCTATTTGCTGTCATTTCTTCATTGCCAAATTTATATCAAAATACTTGTTGGCTACAGCAAATTATTGTTAGGTTTTAGACAGAAAAAAATGGTTTTGTGTAAATAAGGTAGAAGGAACAGATAAGCTACTGAACAGTTACTTTCATAAAAGTATTTATCAAATTGGTTCGAAAACAAGAATAGTCATAGAATTTTCAAATTCTCTCTGTCAATTCATATGTGCTTTGGTATTTCTATTAGTATTTGTATTATTTTAGTTGGTATCCTACAGGAATTTTATAGGTTCTCTTATTCCTGGTTAGAACTGTTATCTGGGTGTTGCCCCCTATGTTACCTTAATATTATCACTACCATTAACATTGGAATTAGGGTTATTCGTGTATGGTGATGCTAAACTTAGATGTCATTAATAAAACAATAACACTTTGCAAAAACTGTGATGAACAAGGTCATGCGGCTTTTGGTGGCCATGATACAGTTAATTTGCAGAGATAATAACCTAAGAAGAAGGTTTGGGGATACTTGGGGTTCTGCACATTTGTGTTCAAATTCTGACTTTGCTACTTACTAGCCATGTGCCCTTGTATGAATTATAAGACCTGGCGAAAATGTCAGATTTTACATCTGGACAAAAAGGACAAAAGTCTTACCTTCCTCATATATTTGTCACAGGATTAGGTGAAATTAAGCATGTCAAATGCCAAGCACAATGCGTGTTGTTTAGGAAACATTGAATATTTTATGTTTTGTGACTTTCTCATTTCTGTGTGCTTGAAATATGAATGTGATAGAATTCATAGTAATGCTTTCAATTTCCATGCCCTTTTTTTAACATTTTAAAAGATAAAATAGTTGGGAAAATTTATCCTTTGAGGTCTACCGTGTCTCTAAAGATGTGTTTTTTTCATTGTAAAAGTATTGACTTGATGTTAGGCAACGATGGTTTTAGCCAGATCTTTAATTATTTATCCTTGGACAGCCCACCTTTGAAGTTTTTTTAATTATCTGTAAAATGGAAATTATTCATGTCCTCATGGAGTTGTTGTGAGGTTTTAAATTAAATATAGTAAAATCTAGCTGTATATACGAAAGTGCTTAATGCAATACCTACCACATACTTGTTTTTCAGCAAATGTTTTATTTACTGGATGAAGGAATTAATCAGTTGACTAAATTATATGAGATAATATATTGAAAGGTGCTTTGTAAACTGCAAGTAAAATATATTGTAAGCTATCCTTCTTCCCCACCTCCCACCCCCTTTTTTTTTGAGGCAGGGTCTCTGTTACCTCGGCAAGAGTGCAGTGGCATCATCATAACTCACTGCAACCTCAAACTCCTGGGCTCAAGGGATCCTCCTGCCTCAGCCTTCCAAGTAGCTGGAACTACAGGCATGCGCCACCACACTCAACTAATTTTTCTATTTTTTTGTAGAGGCAGAGTCTCACTGTGTTGCTCAGGTTGGTCTCAAAGTCTTGACCTCAAGCAGTCGACCCACCTCAGCCTCCCTAAGTGCTAGGATACGGGCGTGAGCCACCATGCCCAGCCGTCTTCCCCTTTTTCTCATATGGGAATATTAGTAGCATTCTGTGCCATTTATAAATATGACAGTGAATTGCCCTAAATTCTGACTTATAATATGCAAGAGGTGGGGAGAGAAACTAGATGATGTTCTTGTCATTATCAGCAATTCTTTCACACTCTTTACATTGTATAATACATTTATCAAATACCTGGTAATTGTCTAAGAAATACGTCCCTAGTGTTCAGCCAGCAATTATGCTAGCCTGACTTACCTTCAGATGGCTTGAAATGGTTTCCTAGAGTCTGTGTCACTATGTTTAAGACCCCTCGGTTCTCTGTCAGGCTTTAAATTGAATTTTCTTTTCTCTTCTAGGTTATCAGTTATGTTTTCCATCAAATGCTCAATGTAATATTAATGTTAGAAGCGGGTGAAGGATCCCATCGCACCCCCCTTACTATTACTTCCCAAGTCATCAATCAGAGAAACCAGGCAGTCCAGTTTATCAGGTGAAGCGTACACATCTTGAATGTTCACTCTCTTCATCTCTTCCTCAGTCATCTGTGCCCTGCGCTAACCAAGATTTCTTACACTTACGGAATTAGAATTCCTGGCCTGATGGTGGTTTGGGGGGCCGAAATAAGACACTTCATAGCTAATCGGATTCACATGGTTTGGGTCACTGTTGGTTGTCCCCGAGTGGGGATTGTTAAAGAAGTAAGGAATCTGCAGTGCGGGGGCAGAGCCAGCCTCCAGTGTGATTGCATCCAGCCTGGGAGGTCAGCCTCTGAGAGGACAGTCGCCTCTCCTTTCTCCGTCATTGTCTGCTTTAGTGTTTACTACCACAGCACATCTGCCTCTTTTTTCTCTTTTCTGTTTCTCTCTGCTCTATGTCTCTTTGCATTTGTTCTTTGCAACTTTTTCCTTGTTTCTTCTCACTTTTCTATTCCTCTCTCCCTGCAGAAAATACTTCCTGAAGGGAAGAATTAAGTTGCTTTTTTACTTTAGCAATAATTGATAGACCACTTTTTCCCTCATGAGTCACTCATCTTCACTTAAAAAGTCTCATGTCTTAGCTTTATTAGCAAAGACATGCTTGCTGTGTCATCGGTTTTTCTTTCCCTCCCTTACTGAATATTTGGCATGCAGTTTGGAAGTGGTGCAGAGAAGTGGTAAGTGTGTACATACCTGCAGGTATGCACAGTATGTAGTATGGTTCGAGACTTGGGTATGGATGATGTCATCTTGTCACTGAGCAAATGTGTCTTACTGGGGATTTTTTTAAACATTAAATGACTAAGGTGTTTTAAGTGGAAACACTGTTGCTTTGATTTTTCCATGAGAGTTCATATCACCAATTGCAATAATGTTCGTATAATGGTACAGATAAATTTAGCGCCAAAACGGATTAAGTCTGGACATTGTGGTAATTTCTTCTTGTGATAAAGTTTAGAGAAGTAATCTTACAAGTACATTAGAGTAGCTGCATTTCACTGAGCTATTATGAGGCAGTACTGAGTCTTAGTCAATTTTTATATTTATCCCAAAAGGATATATTAATATTTCACATCTTAATATGAAATTTAGTAAGTAGTCAAAACAGTCATATGAAGATTACATTTCTGCTTTTCCTTGAGGACTCAGCTACTCAGCAACAGCACTCAAAACTATGCATAGGAAGCACTTAGTTTTCTACTATGATATGTTATGTCTTTGCTCTTCATTCTACTGAGACAACTCTTGTAATATGGGGGTGGTTTTTAATATTTATGTTCTAAATACAGGAGTAGTGGTTTTGGAGGACAGGGTCACTCACTGTGTTGTAAATGGTGGATATGTTTTTCTTTTAAATAGCTCACTTGTGGACGAACTGAGGGAGAGCATATTCCCAGTCCTCCGTGTCTTACTGCAGCACATCTGTGCCAAGGTACCATTTGCTTCAGTAATAACAACACAGAAGTATGTGACATGTACAGATATGTGTGTTTGTGTGTGTGCGTGTTCTTGGGAATGAGTCTGTATCATTACTAAAAGTAGCCTTATTTAAATATTTGCTAGATGTTCCCCTAGACAAAGGGTTCTGTAAAAAATTAGTTTTTATTTTGGAAAATGTCAAACACACACAGAAACGAGAAGAGGGTGGTGAACCACTACATATCCGTCACCTGTCTTCAACAATACTGTGTCATTTATACCCCTGTCACTCCCTCTAACACATGTATACCCTGGATTTTTTTTTCTGGGTCATCTGGAAGGAATGATAGATTGTTTTTTTGAAGCAAATTCCATCATATCCTTTCATACATAATATTTTAGTATGTTTCTCTAAAGGATAAAAACTCATGAAAACCATAGTCACAAAATATTAACACACCTAAAAAAATTATACAGTAATTCTTTAATTTTAATGACTATCTAGTCCATGTTCGAATTTCCATAATTATCTCTTAAATTTTCGTAACCATTTAGACAAATGATTCTTAATTTGAGACATATGGACACTATGGGTCCGTAAACTCTGAAATTGTATGCTAAACTTGTATGTGCATTTTTCTGGGGAGAAGGCTTATAGATTTCTTACAGGTTAATTTTCAAAGGGGTCTAAAACCTAAAATTTATTAGTCATTTACCTAATATTTAAAAATCATTGAACTAGTTACGCTCACTAATTTTCAACTTATAACGTGTTTAAGTTGTCCTGGAGGTGGATATTGGCTTGGCAGCTTCTCTGTTTTTGTGTTTCAGGTGATAGATAAATCAGAATATCGGACCTCTGCAGCACAGGCCCTGGTCCAGCTGCTCAGTAAACTTCCCTGTGGGGAGTACGCTACATTCATTGCCTGGCTTTATAAATATTCACGAAGTTCCAAGGTACGAGATATATCTGCATAAAGTCTTGGGTCCTAGCTCTGCAAACTTCTAATGGCAGTCAGTTCTGAATGAGGAAAAAGGTTTCTTTGATTCTCATTCCTATCTGATGGTGATTCTTATGATTTTGCTTTACCAGATCCCACACCGAGTTTTTACTCTTGATGTGGTCTTAGCTCTGTTAGAACTGCCTGAAAGAGAGATGGATAATACTGTCTCCTTGGAACATCAGAAGTTCCTAAAGCATAAGTTCTTGGTGCAGGACATTATGTTTGACCGCTGTTTAGACAAGGCACCTACTGTCCGCAGCAAGGCATTGTCCAGCTTTGCACATTGTCTGGAACTGACTGTTACCAATGCATCGGAGAGTATACTGGAACTCCTAATTAACAGTAAGTATTGTGAGGATTGTGAAATGAAACTGGTTTTGTATTTAGCAAGAAATAGACTGTGAGGGAATCATTCTTTGTTGTGGCAAAAATAATAGATCTGATAAGATCTATTTTTACCCTCAAACTATTTTCAGTATGTTTTATTGTCAAGTAGCTTTTTAAATATGTAAGCCTGATACATTTGAAAGGCCTTTTTAAAGTATTTCAAATGTTCCTAGTTTAGAGGTGAGATTGTGGGCTGCCTGTACTATTACTTCTCACTGGTAGGCATTGGCTGCGTTGGACCCAATACCCACTTAAAGTGCATACTCAGGGAGAACATTATCAATGGTAAGCAATTTAGAATCTGTCTGCCTGGTCTGTAGGCTTCATTATCTTGATTTTGATCCTTCCGTGGATATTTGCTTAGGGTTTATGCTACTGTGACTTTCTTTCTTCCATCTGCTTATTTTTAGGTCCTGCAGTTTCAGGAATAGAGAGTCACCCTGGTACCTTACTGAGAAATTCATCAGGTATTGGATCAATATAGTTTCAAATACTGAATAACTGTCTTGTAAAAATTTGCTGAATATTTGAAATGTGTTGTCTACTCTCGTACTTACCTATTCTAATATTGTACTTTTTTGTCATTAGAGAAGTTGAAATTCATTTCAGCAATAATGTAATGACTTATATGAGTAACATGCCATGCTTATGTTGTTACAAAGTATAACACATTTTTACTTTAATGACTGTGCTTCTTTTTTTTATTTTTAAGCTTTTTCCTATCAAAGGCAGACAGTTAACCATTCTGAACCCTCAGGGGATGTCAACATAGACAGCGGTGGTGAAACAGTTGGATCTGGGGGTATGTCAGATTTTATCACTGTCAGATAGGTAATACTTTTGGATTTCAGACAACCGTAAGTAGAGTCTAGAAACCTTGGAATTTTCTTTTCTTAAAAGTGGAAGAATTTCTATTATATTTTTAATTGATATCCTTGCACTACACTAAATTTCATTTTAGGTTAAAGAATAAACGACATTCCAGTTAACATGTACTGATCCTGCCCTGTACCTATAACACTTAAGAGAATTATTAGAATGTTTTATTTTCTTATTAAAGTCAATCATTGTGAGCTCTTGGGATTGCTGACCAAAAAAGGACCAGTTACTGGGGAAAGTGGAGCAGAGATTAAATTTGCATTTGAGGAAAAGTCATCGCAAAAAAGAGGGAATGGGAACAGTCCCCAGTCTTGTTCCTGATTCATTCTGCGTCACTTTTGCCGTCACATCATCTTGACTGTAACTGAGCCATCCCAGAATCCAATTCTAATACATGGTAGGGACTGTTGTGTCCAAGCTTCTACTGAAAAGGACATTTCAGAATTTAGCTTATAATTTGTCTTCAGAAATTATAACAACTTGTACCAACTCAATTATTAAATAGCTGCATGACCTAGGGCATCAGGGTCGATAAAACTCCCTATCATTTTCCAATCCTAACACCTTCCCTGTATTTTATAGAAGGCTGTTGTGAGAATCTGTGGAAATAACATTTTAGGGAAGTGATTTAAAGAAACAAGACAGAGAAAGAGAAAATATTAATATGTGTGGATTAATTATATAATTAGCTTTATTCATTCAATAAACATTTATCTGGTCCTTCCTAATCTGTTCTAGGCATTGTAGATATACACTTTAATAAAACATAAATTTCTTAAGTTTTACCTCTTAAGGAGCAGTGGAAAAGACAGATAAGCAGATATATAAATGTGTGTATGTGTATATATGTATATATATGTATATACACACACATACATATATATATACATATCCATATATGTATGTGTATACACACACATACGTACGCACACATATATAATGCTGTGAGACAGGTGCCAAGAGGATGATTACTGCTTATCTAAATATTTGGCCTAGAAGATTAGCGTAGAATTAACTTTGTGAGGCTAGATATTAGCATGTGTTACTCAAATTTAGAGCAATAACTGAATCTATAAGAAACAAGATTCCTTAATTTTGTAGAAAAATTGAATCTGGAAAATCTGAATGTTTTTGTTGACTCCAGTGTTCCTCTTAACAGGTTACAGATTTACTGTTGCACAGACTCTTTCCTTTTTATTTATTTATTTTTTTTCATTTTTCTGCAGTACACCATGACATTCAGACTCTTTTCTAAGCAATATCAAATTGTGTTGATTTAGTGATGCTGTAAAATTAGAAAAGTTTGAAAATCTAAAGAGTCCATGTTCCCATTTTATTTTTCATAAACTGAAAGAACATGTATTATTGGCATTAATTATACCTTAAAAAATCTATGTAGTTACTACATACCATGCCCTGTGCCAGGTGCTTTCTTTGTTTTTTAATTGATATATAGTTCACATACTATAAAATTCACCATTTAAAGTGTGTAGTCACAAGTCCCAAGTCTAATTCCAGAACATTTTTAGCAGCTGAAAAAGAAACCCTGTACTGACTGGCAGTCATTCTTCATTTCCTACTTCCTCCTTGCTTTCTGTCCCTATAGAATTGCCTATCCTGGACATTCCACATAAAGGGAATCATGCAGTATGTTGTTTTTTTCTGTCTGGCTTCTTTCACTTACTTAGCATGATGTTTTCAAGGTTCATTCCTATTGTGGCATGTACCAGTACTTAATTCCCATTTTTTTTTTTTTTTTTTTTTTTTGAGACAGAGTCTCACTTTGTTGCCCGGGCTAGAGTGAGTGCTGTGGCATCAGCCTAGCTCACAGCAACCTCGAACTCCTGGGCTCAAGCAATCCTTCTGCCTCAGCCTCCCGAGTAGCTGGGACTACAGGCATGCGCCACCATGCCTGACTAATTTTTTCTATATATATATACTTTTAGTTGTCCAGATCATTTCTTTCTATTTTTTAGTAGAGATGGGGTCTAGCTCTTGCTCAGGCTGGTCTCAAACTCCTGACCTTGAGTGATCCACCTGCCTCGGCCTCCCAGAGTGCTAGGATTACAGGGGTGAGCCACCACGCCCAGCCTACTTCATTCCTTTTTATGGTGGAATATTATTCTGTTATAAGGATACCACATTTTGTTTATCCATTCATTAATTGATGGACATGTGAGTAATTTCTACTTTTGGGGTATTATGAATAATGCTGCTATGAACATTCTTGTACAAGTTTTTGTGTGGATGTATGTTTTCATTCCTTTTGAGTATATACCTAGGAGTAAAACTGCTGAGTAATGTGGTAACTCTGTGTTTAACATTTTGAGGAACTACCAAACTCTTTTCCAAAGTGGCCATACCATTTTACAATCTTACAAGGAAGGTATGACAATTCTGTTTCTCCATATTCTTACCAACACTTGTCAGCCTGTTTTATTTTAAACATCCTGGTGGGTATGAAGTGGTACCTCACTGCAGTCTTGATTTACATTTCCCTAGTGACTAATTATATTGAGCAGATGTTCATGTGCTTATTGGCTATTTGTGTATCTTTGGGGAAAGATACACAAATTCAAGCCCTTTGCCCGTTTTTTAATTGGGTTATTTGTCTTTTTATTTTTTAGTTTTAAGAGTTCTTTTTGTATTCTGAATCCAAGTCCTTTATCAGATAAATGATTTTCAAATATTGTTCCCCATTTCTGTGGATTATCTTTTCATTTTCTTGATTATGTTCATTGAAGCAAAAAACATTTTAATTTTGATGAAGTCCAATTTATCTTTTTCTTTTTTTACTTGTGATTTTGCTGTCATAGCTAAGAAACCATTGCCTAATTCGAGGTCACAAAGATTTGCTCCTGTGTTTTCCTATAAGAGTTTTACAGTTTTACCTCTTACATTCAGGTCTCTGATCAATTTGGAGTTAATTTTTGCATATGGTATGTGTGGGGTCCATCTTCACTCACATATGAATATCCACTTGACATAGCACCATTCATTTGAAAGACTATTCCTTCACTTTTGAATGGTCTTGGCACCCTTGTGGAAAATCTGTTGCCTTATTTATATGAATTTATGGGTTTATTTCTCAACTCTCAATTTTATTCCACCGATCTGTATGTCTGTCTGTATGCCAGTACCACACTGTGTTGATTGCTGCTGCATTACAGTGTGGGAGAGGAAAAGTAACTTTTTCCTCAATCCTCATGAGTTCTTAGTTGGAACGGACCCCTGTAACAAAAGAAAGATTAATGAGAGAAAGAAGAAAAACAAACAAGTTTATTAATGTGTTCAATACACATCATGCAGGAAAAACCTAAGGCAAAGGAACTCAAAGCGGTGGCTTAAAAGTCCCCGTATATAAGATCTTCAACAAAGAACAGTAAATTTGTAGGGAAATAACAGGACAGAGAAAAGCAGTTTTAGGCTTCCAGAGGGGGAAACCATAGGAAGGTAAATATAGATGTTCCCTGACTTACAGTGGAATTAAACTCATCATTAAGTTGAAAATATTATAAGTTGAAAATGCAATTAATACAGCTAACCTGCTGAACATCATAGCTTACCTAGCCTGTCTTAAATGTGCTCACAACACTGACGTTAACCTACAGTTGGGCAAAATCATCAAACACAAAGTCTACTTTATAATAAAGCATTTAATATCTCATGTAATTTATTGAATACTGTACTGAGAGTGAAAAACAAAATGGTTGTATGGGTTCTAACCATTAACATATACAACTGAAAGCACACTGGTCCCAGAGAATGTTTGAAGCATTTTGTAGACATAATGGGATGCGAAAACACAAAAACAATGTTAAAAAAAACCACTGGCAACAGTACACTGTAGAGTATTGGTTGCTTACCCTCACAATGGCGTGGCTCGTGGGGAGCTGTGGCTCGCTGCCACTGCCAGCATCATGAGAGAGTATCCTGCAGCATACTGCTAGCCCAGGAAAAGATCAAAATTTAAAGTACAGTCTGAATGCACATCGATGATTTTCTCACCATTGTAAAGTCGAAAAAATCTTAATAGAACCATCGAAAGTTAGGAACTGTCTGTATGTGGAAGGAAAACAATGAAGCGAGGCTTGTTTGTGGATTCCTCTGGCCATCTCTTGGCTCACAAAAGTCTAGAGTCATCTCCAGTAAAGAAGAATTTATATCCTGCCTATTCGCAGAAATGGGGTAAGAGAGAGAGAGCTTTTCCTCTGATTGCTGCTGCTTAATTGCCTTCAGCTCAAAAATAATTTTTATATCAAAGGCATAATGTGCAGTGACATATTCTGGTTTCCTTCAGTAGTTAAGTTTTGAAATCAGGAAAAGTGCATTCTTCATATGTGTTCTTTTTCAAAACTCGTTTGGCTATTCTGGGTCCCTTGTATATCCATTTGAATTTTAGGGTCAGCTGTGAATTTCTGCAAAAAAAAAAGGCATCTTGGATTTTGATAGGGATCAGTCTGTAGATCAATTTGGGGATATTCCCATCTTAATGTGTCAAGTCCTCTATCCCAGTGGTCCCCAACCTTTTTGGCACCAGGGACTGGTTTCATGGAAGGCAGCTTTTTCCACAGATTGGGATGGGGTGTGGTTTCTGGATGATTCAAGTACATTACATTTATTGCGCAGTCAGACTTTTCTGCTAATGATAATCTGTATTTGCAGCCACTCCCCAGCACTAGCATCACCGCCTCAGCTCCAGCTCAGATCATCAGGCATTAGGTTCTCATAAGGACTGTGCAGCCTAGATCCCTTTCATGTGCAGTTTATAGTAGCGTTCACGCTCCCGTGAGAATCTAATGCTGCAGCTGATCTGACAGGATTTGTTTCAGTGATGTTTTGTAGTTTTCAGTGAATTTTTGCTCTTTAAATTTTGTTCTAAGTATTTTATTCTTTTTGATGCTTATAAATGAAATTGCTCTCTTAATTTCATTTTGAATTATTCATTGCTAGTTTTTACAAATAATTTTTTATTATTGATCTTATGTACTGTAACTTTGCTAAACTTGTTACTGTCTCTAATAGTTTTTTATGGATTCCTTAGAATTTTCTATCTGTAAGATCAAGTCATCTGTGAATAGAGATTGTTTTACTTCTTCCTTTCCAATCTGGCTGTCTTTTACTAATATTTTAATATTTCTTTTATTTGCCTATTTGCCCTAGCTATATCTCTAGTACAATGTTGAATAGAAATGTGAAGAGTAAACATCTTCATCTTTTTCTGTACTTAGGTGAAAGTTTTTGGTTTTCACCATTGAGTATGATGTTAGCTGTGGATTTTTTAGGATGACCTTTATTATTGTGAGGAAGTTTTCTTCTATTCCAAGTTTGTTGAGAGTTTTTATCATTTTTAAAAAGGTGTTGGATTTTGCAAATGCTTTTTCTGCATCTCTTGAGAGGATCATATGGTTTTGTCCTTTATTTGCTTACTATGTGGTAATTTACATTGATTTTCATGTTAAATCAACATTTTCATTCCTGGGATAAATCACAGACATGGCGTTTAATCCTTTTTATATCTTGCTGGATTTGATTTGCTTGTATTTTTTTTTTTTTGAGAAATTTGATGTATATATTCATAAGGGACATTGGTCTTTTGTTTTCTTTTCTTGAGATGTCTTTGTCTGGTTTTGCTATTAAGGTAATGCTGTCCTAATGTTATGAGGTGGGGAGTGTATTCTTCTCTTCTGTTTTTTGAAAGAGTTTGTGAAGGATTGGTGTTCGTTTTTAATATTTGTTAGAATTCTCCAGTAAAACCATCTGGTCCTTGGCGAGTGTGTGTGTGTGTGTGTGTGTGTGTGTGTGTGTGTGTGTGTGTGTGTGTGTGTGAGAGTGAGTGAGAGAGAGGGAGAGAGAGAGAGAGGTTTTTTTGATTACTAATTCAGTTTCTTTATGTGTTATAAGTATATTTGGATTTTCTATTTCTTTTTGAATCAGTTTCCATAGTTTGTATCTTTCTAAAAATTTGTTCATTTCATTTAGGATACTTATTTTGTTGGCATAAAAATGTTCATAGCATTCCTTTGTAATGCTTTTTATTTATGTAAGGCTGATAGTTATGTCCCTTCTTTCATCCCTGATTTTAGCAATTTGAATTTTCTTTTTTACTTTCTTGGTCAGTTAAACTAAAGGTTTGTTAATTTTGTTCATCTTTTCAAGGAACCTACTTTTGGTTTCATTGATTTTTCTCTATTGTTTTCCATTTTGTATTTTTTTAAGGTGCCTTCTTATGTGTCAGCAGTTCCCAAAATGTGATTTGGGAGCCCTCAGGGGTCCTCAAACTGAGTACTATGCTTGTAATAATAATCAAGATGTCATTTACCTTCCACACTGTCTTTCTAACACATGCAAATTGGAGTTTTCCAATGTCCCATGGTGTATGATGTCAAGACAGATTGCAGGCAGAAAGAGTTGAGAATCCAGCAGCTTTTATTAAGCCAGACATTACAGCGTTTGCAAAAATGTAAAACAGTGCCATTCTTTTCAGTGTTTTCTTTTTGTTTGTTTTAGAAAATATAGTTGTTTTTTATTAAAAATTCCATTTGTAGTCACATCTTGCTATTTTAAAATGAATTAGTAAATAGTTTTACAATTTTCAGTTTAAATTTCTAATTCATATTAAAAGATATAATCCACATAAAAAAAGGTCTTTGGGATCCTTAGTAATTTTTAAGAGGGTAAGAGGTCTTTGAGTGACAAGTTTTAAAGCTTCTGTTATATATTATCTCATCAAATCTTTATTAAAAACCTGATGGGTTAGATTTTCCTATTTGTAGCTAAACAAAATAGAAGAGCTGAATAATTTATTTAGAATTTTAGAGATAGGAGCCAGGATTTGAAATCGAATTTTTAATATTCCAAATCATATGCTTTATAGTGAATACCTAATTATTCACATTTTCTTCTTTTTCTACACCATTTCATACTCTGATTTCTTAGGATTTAAACCAAGCTAGTTAGTGAGTTTTAAGATGAGCATATTTTCTTGGTACCATGTGGTGAAATGTTAGAATCTGTGTGGTTTTTCTTGGAGTGTAATGACTCTTTGGCGTTCCCTCCACAGAAAGATGTGTCATGACGATGCTGAGAAAGAGGATTAGGGATGAGAAGACCAACGTTAGGAAGTCTGCACTCCAGGTGTGAATTTTTTCCCACATTTTTTAATGTGCTCTCTTTTTATGTGCTAAAAACTTGGAAATGCAAGGGATTATTTTTAAAAACCCCAGGCCTTATTCATTACTTAATTTGCTTTCACTTAACTGTTAGTTGACCCTGATTCTGTTATATATAAATTATATAGATGAACTGAAAGATTGTCTGTTTTCAAGATTTCCAAGAGAACCACAAATTTATATCCTTAATTTCTTTTGTTTAGAATAGGAATTCTTAACTTGGGGACCAAGGGTAGATTTTAATAGCTTCGTAAAATTGTTTGTAAATATTTGTTCATACAAAATGTGTGTCAGTTTTCCTCGGAGAGAGGCCTTAGCTTTCATCAGATTCTAAAAGATGGGATGTTGTAGGGAAGAAGGATGGATCCATGACCCCCAAAATGTTAAGAACCACAAACTTCCAGAAAGTTTCCTTTGTCCACAATTTGTCTTTGTGTATTTATGCTATGCAGTCATCACTTCATGTTGCATATCTGCCTTCTAGGTGTTAGTGAGTATTTTGAAACATTGTGAAGTCTCATATATGAAGGAAGACCTGTCAATTCTGCAGGACCGGTGTCGAGACCCTGCAGTGTCTGTCCGGAAGCAGGCCCTACAATCTCTTACCGAACTTCTTATGGTGAGAGGCAAGGCATATGTATCTAATGCATGGTATTTTACATTAAAAGTAATTCCTCATAATACTTACCTGTTGTTAAATGGTAAGTTGACCATTAGAGACTCTGCCAATTCCACTGTAGGACTGTATAATGTAAGAGAAAAGAAGAGGTATCTTTCAACTATGTGTGATAGACTGTACTTCCTAGTAAATATAAATGGGAACTAATGCCAGAGAATGCTAATTGTTAGGCTTTTCTTCAGTTTAAATCTCACATAGAAAAATAAATTTAAAAATTAATTTGGTTGTGCTGGAGGCCTAGATGAATTTTTGTCAATTAAAACATATATATATGGTATTGCCAAAAGAGCAGACCCACTAATGCTATACACAGTTTACTTCTGCCAGCTAATTAGCTGTTGAAGAATTTTAAAAGCACGTTTTTTTCTTTATTTCGTGGTAGAAGGCATTAAACAATGCATATTTTGACTTTCTCTGTCAGCGTCTATTCTACTTGCTCCTTTGGATAAATATTATTTGCTCTTGATTTTGAATGACTAAAAACATACTGATTTACTATTACTAATAAAATAATGACTTTAATATATACATTTAAAATTTTATTAATAGTATGCACTGATTTACAATAAGCCAGAGGTTGAATTTTGTTCTTGCACGTATTTTGAGCATTGATTCTTTTTCACTCTGTGGTCTGTTTGCAGTCGAATGTGTAATTATTTTTAACCTGTTTCTCAAAACATTGATGACAACTTCACTGACTTGTATTTAGACTTCTAATAGGATAAGACCTCTGACATTATAATTTTTTCAATCCTAAGGCCCAACCTCGATGTGTCCATATCCAGAAAGCCTGGCTGAGGGGGGTAGTCCCCGTGGTGATGGACTGCGAGAGCACCGTGCAGGAGAAGGCCCTGGAGTGCCTCGACCAGGTCCTGCTGCAGAACATCAAGCACCACAGTAAATTTCACACTGGGGACGACAGCCAGGTGCTGGCTTGGGCACTGCTTGCTCTCCTCACCACAGAAAGCCAGGGATTGAGGTATGCTAACTGTATGACTTGTGTTCCTTATGGAAGGCCATAAGACTTTGTACTCATTTCTCCACTGATCTTGAGAAACCAACTTTCCACATTACTTGGTGTATGTGAAGACTCAATCTTGGTCTCTTTGTTTTCTTGACCTACTTCAAATCTCTTAGCATTTTTGTGGTAACTGTATTTTTGCAACACCATTTTGATCACTTCCTTTGCTTCCCTCTGCATGCCGTCCAGTTTTAGTTTGGTATCTTAATATGTAATAGAAAATGCCCATGGATACAGCATATTATTATGTTACTTTTCCCCAATACTGGCTATTATGAAAGATGACTTCCTAGTTCTTGCAAGCACCGCAGGGGTTTTTTTTTTTTCTGTTTGATAACATTTATTGAGCATACACTGTTTACAGTGAATATGGTATTTAGGAGTTAGGACCTGTTGTAGAGGAATTACCATGCAATAGAAAGAGAAATAGATTTAGTTTTGTAAAATACCATTCTGTGGGATAAAGAAATTGTGGTACATATATGCAGTGGAATATTATATAGCCACAAAAAGAATGGAATCCTGCCATTTGCAACAACATGGATAGAACTAGAGAACATTGTTAAGTGAAATAAGCCAAGCACAGAAAGACTAATCTTGCATGTTCTCACTCATATGTGGGAGCTAAATATTAAAAACAATTGATCTCATAGAGTCAGAGAGTAGAATTATGTTACCAGAGGCTGGGAAGGGTAGTGGGGCCGGGAGGGATAAAGTGAGGATGGTTAATGATTGCAAAATAGTATTAGCTAGTTAGATAGAAGGAACAGTATGTGATAGCATAACAAAGTGACTACAATCAACAATAAGTTAGGTTATACTTTAAAATAACTAAAAGAGTAGAACTGGAATATTCCTAACACAAAGAAATGATAAATACCTGAGGTGATGGATACCCAGTATTTTCTTGATTTGATTAATTCACATTGTGTGCCTGTGTCAAAACAGTACATGTACCAAAAATTCCATTCTGTTTCCTTGGCAAATCACCTTCTCTGGGCCTTAGTTTCCTCATTTGTAAGAGCAGCTGTTCGATTACATGATCTCTTCAAGTCCCATTTGGTAGTAAAACTTTATGACGGAAAATGTGTTCATTCAGCAAATGTTTTCTCAGTACTGGTTGAGCATCCCTAATCCAAAAATCCAAAATGCTCCAAAATCAGAAACCTTTTGAGCACCGACATGATACCACAAGTGGAAAATTCCACACCTGACCTCATGTGACAGGTTGCAGTCAAAAGGGAGGTACACAACACACAGTGTTCAGTATCCCCAAGGGAAAAATAAAATTACCTTCAGGCTATGCATGTAAGGTGTATATGAGACATAAGTGAATTTCGTGTTTAGATTTGGGTCCCATCCTCAAGATGTCCTATTAAGTATATGCAAATATTCCAAAATCAAAAAAAAATCTAAAATCCAAAACACTTTTGGTCTCAAGCATTTCAGATGAGGGATACTCATCCTGTACCCACTCTACACTTTGCTGAGATTCCTAGAAGGGAGGGATTTACCCACCTTTTTCACTTTCCCTGGGGATACCTCATTATGCACACCTAGTATATTAAAGCTTCATGGTAATGTAATGAAAGGTAGTAACCATTCTTCACAAAAGACGAGAGGCCTACTACAGGTCGTGAGAAGCTATCAGGAGGTTTATTTCATTTCTTTTTATTTAAAAAAATTTTTATACTGAAGTGTAGCATATATATAGAAGAGTATACAAACCATAAGGTCAATAAATACTACAAAGAAAATGTACCATGTAACCCCACCACCAGGGTCAAGAAATAAAATACTACCAGGCCCAAGAAGACAATCACACCTTCCCAATCAGTATCCTCCTCAGATCTAACTACTTCTGTGGTTTTAATACAATGTGTTACTTTCCTGTTGTTGAACTTAATATAAATGGTATTATATAGGATGTATTCTCCTGTGTGTCTGGCTTCTTTCACTCAGTGTAATGTAAGATTCATTCAGGTTACTATGTGTATAGCTGTAGCTCATTCATTTTCATTTCTGTGTACACACAAACATATATATGTGTGTGACATTTATGATTAAACCACAATTTATTCATTTTATTTATAGATAATTGAATATCTTTCAGTTTTTGACTATTATATGTAATACCACTATGAATATTCCTGTGTTCTTTTGTACATCTGTTGGGTTTATACCAAGAAGCAGTATTTTTGCATATATTTTAATTCACCTTTAACGGATACTGCTAGACAGTTTTCCAGGATGGTTGTAGCGTTTATGTTTGCAACAGCGATATGTGAGAGTTCTGGTTGCTCCATATCTCAGATAGCATTTTGTATTGTCAGTCTTTTTCTTGTCAGGCATTTTGATGAATGAATAGTGGTATTGCATTGTGGCTTCAATTTACACTGCCACGTTGACCAATGAGATTGAGCTTTTTTTATATGTGGATTAGCATTTAGATACTCACATTGAGAATTACCTGTTTGGATCTCTTGTCCTGTGTTTAATTGGGCTGTCACTCTTTCACCTGTTCATCTAAAAGTGTTCATTACCTATTCTGTGTGCAGTTCATTGTTACATGTATTGCAAATCCCTTTTCCCACTTTGTTTGCTTTTTTACTCTCTTAATGCTGTCTTTTGATAAGTTGAGTTTGTCATTGGTTTTCTTTATAGTTAATGTACTTTTTAAGAAATCTTTTCCTAACCACAGAGTCATATAGATGTTCTCCTATATAATCTTTTTTTTTTTCCTTTTCTCTGTTAGGTATTTAACTTACCTGCCATTGATTTTTGTGCGCTCTGTTAGATGGGGACCAAGTTTGATGTTTTTCTAAATGAAGATCCAGTTACCCTAGAAATATTAATTGAAAAGACTATCCTTTGTTCAGTGCTTTGCAGTGCCATCTTGATGACAAGTCAGGTGTTCATAATTCTAGTCCAGAATTTTCTACTCTGTTTTACTTCATTAGCATGGATATTCTTCCTGCGTTGGGACTACCCTGTTTTAATTATTGGGGTTTTATGAGTTCTGCTCTCCAGCAGAGTCAGTCTCGTGTTCTTCTTGCCTTGCCCCGTACGGTTCTTCAGTATTATCTTACTTATTCTTGGCCCTCTTTATTCATGTGTAATCCATTGGTCAGTCCATTCATTATTAATTATCATTGCATTTTTCATTTCTAAAATTTTCATTTTCTTCATTATAGTTTCCAGTTCTCTGCTGAAATTGCCAATCTTATTTTTGTTTCTTTGAACATATTCAGCATAGTCACTTTAAAGTGTATGTGTCTGATAACGTCACAGGCCCTGTGGATCTGTTTCTCTTTATTTTTGGTAATCTTGTCTTATCTCCTCATATGACATTGCATTCGAAAAATTGTGGAGATAATTTGAAGTTTGGGGTAACATCTAGAGAGGATTTATATCTACATCTGGTGGGTGATTAGGTTAGGGGTACTTCTATACCAGATCACTTTAATCCAGTCAAGGGCGGAGAAGGTTTCGACCTGGGCAGCAGTGACTGTGTGGGCACTTACCCTGTTAAAGTATAGATCCCAAATCCACACCAGGGTACTGACCAAGCCTGCCCTTCCTAGCAGGCCCTGGGCTCCTCTTTTTGTCCTTTTGCCCCATGAATATATCTAAGTCTCTATTTATTAGCTTGATAGCCACCTCTGCCCAAATTGGCAAATGCTTAAGAGAAAACAGTGGCCCACAACTTATGCACTGCATATTTTCTGAAATTATTCTTAACTTCTAGTTGATTTTGTGGCAATTCTTTTTGTTTTTCAGTGTTGCTTCAAATTTTTCATATTTTTGGTATTTGTTTATTCCAAAGGGCTTTAAGGAAACATTAAAACAAAGAAAGAAACATGGGTTCATGTTGAAACCTGGGGTTGGGTTGTGGATGAAACTGCCCAAAGAGGTTGTAGAATGAATAAGAAAAGATGGGAGTTTAGAAGAGGAACCTTGTAGAGGGTGGTCATTTAAGGGTTTGACAAAGGCAGATAGCTCTATGACTTAAAAGGAATAAAGAGGTAGAGGAACAACTATGAGAAAATGATTCAAGTAGAAACAAGGAGTGAGAATCTCAAGCAAAGTGAGCAGTCAACATTTCCAAATCTCTCAAACATATCACAAACAAAACTTGTCCCAAACAAGTCATGTCAAGTTGGAATTTTATACCAAACTAAATTATTCAATATACAAGGTAAAATAAAGCCATATTGAAAAAGAACAAAGCAAAAAAAAAAAAAACTGAGGAAATTCATCACCAATAGCCCTTCACCAAAGAAGCTTCTGTAAAGGATATACTTCAGAAGGATGGAAACTGGATTCAGAAGGGAGAGGAATAGGATTCAAGAAGAATTGGTTACTAAGAAATCAGTAAACACATAGAGAAATCTAAAATAATCACAGACGTTGAAAATCAGTAACAGTAGTGAGAATGATGACGACTAATTGGAATGATCAAAAGCAATGTCAAGCTAAAATATCAAAGCTGTCAGATGAGCCAGAGTGGCCATCAGAGTGTGCATTTTCTTGCATTTGTAGCATTGGATAGGAGGAGACTAGAGACGCTGATTAACAATAGACTTGAGCCAAGACTGGGCAACCAGGGTAGAAGTATATAACCTCTGAGCCGACAGAGCAAAAGTAATGTATTGAAGAAAACTCAATGCAAGAAAAGACAGAATAGAAGTGAAGACTAAAAATAAAAAACAAGAAGGAAAAATAAAAAGCGTGATAAAGAGAAAGCACAAAATAAATGGCTAAATTAATCCAAATAAATCAGTAATCAAAGTAAATGTCAAAGACTTAAATTTAACAGACAAAAGCTTTTAATAAACAAAAGCTTTGGATATAAAAACCAAAATTC